GTCTCTGCTCCATGGGCTCTCCCAGGTCTCCTTCTGGCTTCATCCTGCTTCCTTCCTCTCCAGATTCTTCTGCACTCAGCTCAGCTCCTTTGGGTGAAGCTGGGAACCTGGAAACTCCCCTTTTCCTAGGGCCTCCCCCTCCCCCCAGTTACAGAAGCATGACCCCACAGGGAAGAGAATTGATGTCCTGAGACTTTTTTTTAAGATGTATATATTTAGCGTACAGAAGTGGGGTACAAGCCAGAGGTACAGAGGCGGTGAGAGGATTCACCAGAGAAAGAGTGGGGAACAGAACAGATTTACTGAAATACACTGCTGAGCAGAGCAACAGGGAGACAGGAGGGGTCTGTTGGGCCAGGTGGGTCACCTCCCGGGCGGGATCGAACTGGCGCTGAAGCGGCTGTTGCTGGCTTACAGTGCTGTGTCCTAGCCAGGGGCGTCAGCAGGGAGGCCCCTAACTAAGACTTCTGTGGCTTCATGCCATGTCCTTCGCCAGCCCAGGAAAATGCAAAGCCATCTGTGTTGCCCATGCAGCCCTGAGCAATGCCTGCTTCCCGATGCAGAGTCCTGACTGGACACATCTGCTCTCGGAAACTGGAGAGCAGTTAAATTTAATTCATAAAAACAAGGAGATGGGGGCCCTCCCTGGTGGCGCAGCAGGTTAAAGCACAGCACTGAGAAGCTCAAGCCATTTCCGCATGAGTTCGATCCCCACCTGGAGGTCACTATATGGCACGGCAGACCTCCCCTGACCCACCCGCTGCTCCCCTCAGCAGGGTACCTCATCAGTCGGCCTATCCTGCTCCCTGCTCTCTCACCGCACCTGCACCTCTGGGCTGTACCCCAGTTCTGTATGCATAAAGTCATTTTTTAAAAAAAAGAAGAGGAAGATGGTTGAAGAACCTCTAAAAATACCCACCGAGATTATTATTTGGGGGTTTCTGAATTAAGCCAAATATTCATGCCACCCAGTGTTCCTGGAGGTGGGGTCTTCCTGGTATCCTCCTTCTCCGGATTTTTCTATTTTTGCCCCACTCACAAAAAATTACCTAAGCTAGTCCAATGTGCAGGATGCAAAGAATCCTATTTCTAGCAGACATATCTCTCACGCTTAGGGACTGCGTGATGGGAGCTGCTCTACACAAATTGACTTGAACTCATTTAATTACACATCAGTGTCAGAGGTAGGTTATCTGATCTTATAGATGTAAAGTCATGTCTGTAAATGATCCAGATTCCTCCCTCCACCAGGGGACAGAGTTCTGAACCCACAAGTTCAAGTGCATCTGAGGGTTGAGGCCAGCAGGGATTCTGGTTAAAGAATGGAAATAACATATGGGGGACCCACTGATGCCAAGGCGATGGCTTACGGCAAAGATGTATTTTCCTGAACATTCTACAGGGCGGGGCCGCCCCTGTATTCCGACTGGCACTTCAGTGTCCTACCAGCTCATTAGCTAGAGGGTCCGCAGGAGTTCAGGCCTGGTGGCCACCACCCCTCACTCTTCCTCAAAAGGAAAGGGGGGTGGGGAGTGTAAATGACCTCACAGGACACCAGGAGAGTCTGACATGTGTCTTCCAGTGATTCATTTGGGCGGGCTAATTTCACACCAAGCTAAAGGCAGAAGTTCAGGGCAAGGTCACCGGAGGCCTCGCCCTACTTCCATGCAAGAAAAGTTTCTTGGTAAAGCACAGAGACTGGACGGACTGAAATTCCATCCAGACAGGAAATCACCAAAATGTTAGATAAAATGGGCCCTTATCTTTATAAGTCAAACTCTTTCATTCACCAGGTGGGTGTTTCCTGGGAACCTGCTGCGTGCCAGGCTCATGCCATGGAGTCCTTGTGCGTCTAGAATGTGCTCTGCGTGGAGAGAGGAAAGACAATAAACGCACTACAATAGCTGGCAAGTGGTACTGGAGAAAGATTTGCAGAAACTAAAAATAAAAGTCAGTGTGTCTCACACACACACACACACACACACACACACACACACACACACACACGAGCTGAGTTTGGAGCTGGGAAAGCGGGAGGCCTGGGGCAGGGGACCCGAGCCAGAAGTGGGTTGGGTGACCAGGTGGAAG